TTATTGTTATAATTGTTGTTATTAATTATTATTATTGTTATTGTTAAAATTGTTATTATTGTTAATTATGGCATCACCAAACATGAACAACCCATCATCCTTTAGGAAAGCCCGATTTGTCCGTGGTAATAGTTATAGGGAATCACCTAATCCAATTACCCCCCCCCCAATTTCAAGTCCGGCCAATGACCCCAGTAACGTCCCCCTAGGCTTTGAACAATTTAGGCACGATGGTACTTCTGGTTTTCAACCCTATAACATGAATAATACGCCCGGATTTCCACCACCAAACCAAATTCCATAATTCGGTCAATTCCCACCTAATTTCTTTGACCCACAAAATTTTTATTCTAGCCAAGGTAGTCAACAAGATACCCTAAATGTCTCCAGTTCTACTACTAACCAACAAATCCTCGAATCTACAAACACCCAATTCCCAAACACACAAGAGCAATGGTTGACCGAAAGTGACATGGTAGATATCAAAAGCCGCAAAAGTGATGTATGGCATTATTTTCTGCTAAATAAAGCCCAAACAAGAGCAAAATGTAAAACATGTGGTAATATATACTCGGCACAATCCAAGTCCAGGACGGGACACTTAAGTAGACACATGAGAAGTTGTGCAAAACCAGCTAGTGATCCAACCTAGTCAAAAATTTCCCAATTCCATCCACACGGCTTCACCTACAACTATGAGAGGGATAGGGATGAACTAGGGAAAGTGATAGTACACACCGAACAACCTATTCTTTTCTCCGAAAGTGACCCATTTAACACTTACATTAACAAAGCATTACTACCCCAACATAAAATAATCTCTAGGAAAACCGTTCGTTCCGCCACCATGAATAACTTCCTAGAGTACAAAATGCGGTTACAAGACGAATTGAGTAAACTTAATTGTAGAGTGTCTTTGACTGCCAATTATTGGGATAGTGGTTATAAATATCACTTTTATGTCTGACTTGCCATTGGGTAGATGATCAATGGTTGTTACAAAAACGAATAATCCATTTCAAAATGCTGGAATACCTCCACACCGGTATTAACATTGCTCACCATTTAGTGGAAGTAATAAATGAATACAACCTTCGAGAAAATATCATGTCTATGACATTTGACAATGCAACCTCAATGACATATACTGCTAATTATGTCAAACAAAACTTGACCGATGTAATATTAGATGGTGACACACTTTTATACTAGATGTGTTTGTCATGTTTTTAACTTATGTGTATAGGATGAAATTAGTGCAATTGGTCCATACTACAACAAAATTAGAGATGCTATTATGTCTATTAATAGCTCAAACATGAGATACCAAGAATGGAAGAGTTTTCTAAAACAACAAAAGATAAGAGCAATAAAAATCAAAACCGATTGCCCAACTATGACATGTTAACTAAGACAATTGAGTACAAGAATCCGTTGACAATTTTTTACAACCAAAAATTCCAAACAATGCTATATATGAGGATGATTGGGATAAATGTGAACGATATATGCAATTTTTACAGTTATTATATAACATGACGTATTGTTTTTCTTCTGTTTATAATCCTTGTGCTCAAAACTTTCTTTCAAATGCATGTTTACTCGCCCAACTTTTCGTTGATCATCGCAACCAAAGTGATTATGATCAGTATCTTCCAGCAATGGAAACAAAGTGGCGTAATATTATAGTGAAATTCCTTTGATTTATATTTTTGCTTCCATATTAGATCCTAGGCAAAAATATGAAAATACATTTATGTTAGTTGACATTTATTTTCAATGCATGCTTCTTGACGATAATGTAGATACCAATAAGAGTAATGTGAAGGATCAGTTTTTTACTTTATTTAGAGTCTATGAAACCAAATATGGCACCATTCCTCGCTCAGGCCCTTCCCAACCATCCAAAAACGTAAGTAAAAAGGCCAAACATTTATTTTCACAAGCTACTAACTTGATTTCAGATGATTCATCAATAAGGAGAATGCAAAGCGATGTCTCGGAGTTGCAAATGTACCTGAGTTACGACTTCACCAAGGGCATGGACGACGATGAGATAAACAGCCTCGACCTCCTTGCATGGTGGAAACAACAAAGCACGAAGCATCCAACTTTGGCGGCAATGGCATGAGACATTCTTGGTATCCAAGTCTCCTTCGTTGCCTGCGAACGAGCTTTCAGCGCATCCGGGAGGGTTTTAGACGATAGAATAACAAGTCTAACACCCAAAACACTTGAAATGTGCGTGTGTTTCAAAGATTGGTTGGATGTTGAAAATCGCTCACAAGATCGTTCTTACGACGACAACGACAAGGATGAAGGAACCTCCGCTTCCGACCGTTCGGGTTCGGCTAGTTCCCAATCTATGCAACTAGCCGATGACCTTGAAGGCGAAGACGAAGACGAACAAGAAGAAGAATAGACCATTTTTGTATATTGTACGATTTTTATCATTATCAATATTATCATTTTACGATTTTTATCATTATCCAATTTTTGTTTAATATCCTTGTACGATTTTTATCATTATTATCATTGTACAATTTTTTCAAGTAATAATAATATGAAGTATGCATTATTCACATCCAAAGTCCAATTTGTCTTTTTTCCGGTTAAGTTATAATTTGTAAATTAATATAGCAAAAAAAAAAAATTATAATAATTAATAATACAAAAATAAATATGATAAATTATAAATATTAAACTATAAAGTAATAGTATAAACTAAATATATAAATATAAATATTAAATATAAAAAATAATAAAACATAAATATTAAACTTAATTTATTTTAGAAAAATAATAATATAAGATTATAAGTTATAAACTATTGAAAAAAAAAATTTTAAAAGACAAAAAAACCAAAGCAAAGGCAGCAGCCCAGTAGGCCAGCCCGACACGAGCCTGCTCGGCACGTGGGCCGTGCCGTGGGCTGGCCTTCCATTTTGGGTGGCACGGCACGCTTCCTCTGACACGGTGGCACGGCACGGCCCGGCGGAGACCGTAGCCCGCTAGGCTCGGCCTGCGGTGGCCCGGCCCGGCACGTTGCCTACCTTTAATTATAATTAAGATCATGATTTGTTCAATTATCCTTGAAAATTCATCTTCGCATCAATGATTAAAATAGTTAGTTCAAAAAAATAAATTTATTGATAAAGTATTAAATCATGTGAAAAAAAAAAAAACATGTGTAGTGACACTGAAAGATTTTTTTTACAAGATTAAAATGTGAAATGATCGAATTGTATCAATACACCGTTATATATTCACATCTATGCGTTTTACCACGAAGAAAAGTTTATATTGTCAACTACAGGATAACGAAGACCATCTTTTACATTTTCAAGTCAAAGCATGCAATAATATTTAAAGAAAAATTACAAGATATATGTTTTAATTCATATATATATAAAAAAAAAAAAAAACCCGGTATTCTTAACATTTATCAATAGCTATATCTATACTTAGTATATAAAAACTCAAACCACTAAGTTAGTGCGGTAACACCAAGTGTCAACCCTTTCTTTAATCAATTTTATTAACAAATAAATATATGTAGTAATTTTATTGCTAATTCAATCTATGTATTTATTGACGATTTTGTTATATTCTCTGTAACTTAATAATGTTAACAAATACATATCATATTCAACTTTCCTCTCCTGAACTCTTCATTTTTTTTCTCATACAAAAATTGTAAAATCATTGAAAAAAATATAAATTAATTTGACCAAGTTTACTTTATACAACCCGAGCATTGCACAGTCCTTAATTATAAGTTAAGAAGATGAAGTAATAATTTTCTTTCATGCATTATTGATTCATATTTTTATTAAAATATATCCTTTTTCACCTTTTTTGAAAAAACAAAATATCGATCATAGCTTGAATATATCGGACTTGAACCTAAACCCATTCTTAAAACCAAAACTGACTATCACCGAGTTTGACTATGTTTGAAACTAGCTTAGGTTGCAACAAATTTTGAGTTGATCAAACCAATTCAAAGTCTAATATATTTGAACTTGATTTGTTTCCCACACTAAGCTAATTACCAATAGACTTGAATTTGTCATACTTAAAAAGTCTATTCACTCAAATATGGATTGAGTGGGAGTGAGGGATAGCTCAAGTGGTTAGAGCTTTCCTCCCGGTTTCCCGTGATTCTGGAATCAATTCTCATCACTCGCCTGTGTGACTCTCTAAACAACAACAACAACAAAAAAAAAAGGGATTGAGTGACCCATTTGTCATCTCTAAAGCTCTATCTATATGTACATAACAATGGTTTTTATTTAATTTATTTATTTATCTAAAAAATTAAACTTAGATTGATTACATAACACAAAAAAAATTAACGAAAGTTAATCTAACTCATGCTTTAGACAATTAACTTATGTTTAAGACAATAATAATCCAAATCTAGATTTATAATTGTGAATTTTTCAAATTTCCAATTTCCTTCTATGTCCTAATTTTTTTTTCTTCTGACAAAGAAAAGTGATATAGACAATTTAAATCTCAATTTTTAAAAGATATTCCTTAAGATTTAATTATGTAAAAATTCAAGTTGGCTTTGTCATTGTGTTACTTTGCTGTCTCTTATCATAATATGGAAGTAGAGAATGCCAATACCTATGCCCAAACCTATGCTTTCTTCTATTTTGATGAAGATAGACAGTGACCTGGGAAATTCATAGGTGGTTAAAAAATAAAAAATCATAGTAAAAGATAGTGATATAAACATAATTTGATCCCACTCGTCACTAAGCATGCCTTGACAAATTAATCATCCTAAAAACTACATTTCGCTTAAATTAAGCCAATTTTTTCTTTTTTATGCGTCACTTTGTTAGTGCTAAATTTTATTTCAAGATTCCAATCTTGAAGCTTCAAAAACAAATTAGCACTTGTACAACCAATAAATCTAGGACATATATTAATATGTACTCTAGGGCCTCTAGGCATGTTGCATGTAGCCCAAGTATTAATGCACATCATGTTATTAATTTCATCCTTTGGAAAAATCCACATAATTTTGACTCATGACAGCAAAAAAAATTAGTTGAAATAATAAATAAAAAAATATAGTCCATATATATCCAAAAAATTTAATCAAATCCATATCTAAACTAACTAGGTACCATTGGAAACTTCCCTCCTCAGAGTCCTCACCATTTTGTACAAGCTCAGCCTCAAAAACACACAAACAAACTCACTTCAACACACACAAAAACCAGAGTAGAGAGAGAAACCAAGAAAATTGATTAAAAATGGCGAATATTTTGAACATTTCATCTCAAGCTGTGACGCCATGGTCAAATGCCACTTCAGTGTTCTCATCCAATACCAAATTTTCTCTCTCCAATAAATATTCTCACAATTATTCTTTTCCTCATATTTCTACTTCAGCTTCAGGTAATATTTTTCTGTGTAATAATTAATGAATTATATGTTTTGATAATTTGTTTCATTTCGGTAATTTGCGCTATCTGATGGGATTATAGTTTTGTTATTGATCAATTGTAGATGATTTCTGTGTAATTTTGGCTTTCGACTTTTTATTTGTAAAATTTCTGAGTAGGTCTTTTATACAACCGTAGATAGTGTAGGTCCGAATCGCATAAAAGTTCCCTTTTGCGAAATTGACTTTTATTTCATATGATCAAGTATGTTCATACAATAATACCATGGCCTATTACATGTTTTGCCTTTTCCTGTTACATTGAATTTTGTACATTTTTTTTTTTTGGTTTTTCAATCACCTGTGAGAAATCAATATTAGAAATATATAGTTGAATGAAATCATTTTGATCAAACCGTATTATACTAAAACCTTAGAATTTGGAAGCATATGTTGTTTTTGATGTGAATTTGACTTCTGCTTATGCTTGCAAAACCAATTTATGCTAGCAAAACCAATTGTGTAATCGTGCTTTTGGGGGACGAGATAGGGAATACTCGTGTTGTAAGTGTTATAACAATGAAGGGAAGATCGAGTCTTATTTTGATAGTTGGAATAGGTGAAATGATTGTTAGAATATGTCAATGTGGCTGATATTGAGGTGTTTGTGGTAGTTTTGATGTTCTTGTAATATGATGGAAGCATTTTTATGCAATCATGGAATGATGAAGAATGCTGATGCAGCAACGACAAAGAGTAGGAGGTCGCGGTTTTATAATCGTGCTTCAGCCATTTCCATGTACAGTATTATTCAAGGCCTCAAGGATCTTATATTGAGGAGACCTGAGTTTCATTATGAATGGCATAAAATGATTGAGGGTACAATTCTAATTTGCCATTTGAAAGAGGCTTGAAGGTTAACTTGGGTAAGTAAGTAAATTCACCACAAGCTTAATTCTAGTCTCTGGAGTTGGGAGTTGAGGTTGAAGGGTAAAGGCTGGTGGCGGAAATTCACAGAGATTGATTTCAGTTCCACTATTTGTCTTGGCATTTGATGGAGCTGTTTATTTAAGTTTTTGGATGCTAATGGGATCCGGACTGTTGATCAGCAAACCAAAACTTTTTCTATATGAGAAAGATCTTTATAAAAAAGCTGAATAGTTTAAGAGTCATTTAGGGGGATTGAGGCTTGTACAAGTCAACTTTCTCGCCTTCACTAAAAATAAGGTTTCAACAGGGCCTTGGTTTGAGCCCACTCCATAATTATGTGAAACTTGCAACAGTCTGAGAGGGGACAGGCGTTGATGGGGGGAGAGCACACTGCTAATGAGGACAAGGGTTGACGAGGTTCTAGTTGGTGTATGGTGTATCTATGAAGTGAATAGGTTTTTAGCCTTTTTTTTTTTTTTTTTAAGTATATTGCAACTTTTAATTTTGGGTTTTATTACAATTTGTTATTTAGTCGAATATAAGGTGCTCCTAAGGTGTATAAATTAGATATGTTGCAATAGAAATCCAAAATATCTATACATATTTAGAGTTAGGTTTAAGTGATTCCTGTTAAACCAAACACAAGAAAAGGTTAGAGTTAAATGATTCCTTCCCCCCTCTTATTTGTTTCCTTTCCATTCCGTTTCCAATATTCATACCAAACACTCCTTAGCTTCTTTGCCCCTGCCCTCTCCTCTGGGATACTTAACACTGAGAGAAAGCTAGGACGGGTTGGGGGCATTGTTGCTGCAAGTGTGACTGTGTGAGGGAAAACAAAGGGCAGCCTAATTGAGTTTTACAAATTGTCAACTTTATGAGCATTTGAGAAACATTTCCTTCTATTGGAATGATAAGAAAAGACTGGATTGGGGGTGAGGATTCTTGTTTCTAAGTAGGGACAGCTATTCATGGTGGCGGGACTAGTAGCATAATGGCTTCCTTGGAACTGAAAACAGATGCATGATGATAGGGGAAACTAACTTAGTTGTGTGGTGCTAAATAGAACAATCCCAATGTTACAATTCGAATAGCTTATGTGCTTATACAAATAAAATAGGAGCTTCTTTTTTTTTTTTTTCTTTTTTTTTTTTAAAAATTCTATTTGGCCTGTAACCTTTACTTCATTGATAAATATATCACTGTAACTTTAACAAATTCCAAGCTCTGGATTCATTATTAAACTTCGACTTTCTTATTTAGCTGTTGTTTTGGCAGGGTGTAGATTTTCATGGATGGAAGAGAACTTTACCAGCCATAGAAACATGTATAGCAATGGAAGAAGACCAAGCCATGTTCAATTAGCCCTTCCAAGAACATCAACTGTGTCAGTTTCCTCTGTAGAAGACCTTTTTGCCTTTATATGTTCCGGTCCCCTTATAAATAAAACAGGTCTTACTGAGCAAAAGATTGCCGAGTCAATCGATAAATGGTTATTGTGTGCATCTCAACTTTGTAGAGTATTCCAACTCAATGAACTTAAACTAGATGATGCTCAGAAAATCAGGCTTTACCATTACTATATACCAGTCTTCTTATGGTGTGAAGATCAAATCTCCCAACATGCATCCAAGTTCAAAGATGGAGAAGAAGTCCCTCCTCTAGTGGTACAAATTTATAACTATCCCTCTCCCCCCCCAAAAAAAAAACCCCCTTTCTTTTTAAAAAAAATTTTCCTGCATTTTACTGAATTGGATTATGTAAGCATTTCATTCATCATGCTTTAGTGGTTAATTTACGCAATTAATAAAGATGTTTATTCTAGATCATGGAAGATCCACCATTGCATAGTGGTATGCAAGTGCACAACCCTAAAGATGGGAATAAAAAAGTTATTATTCTGTATAAGGGGTAAAGGGTCATATTGGCCACTAAAATTTTGCATGCCTGAATATTCCTAAACCAGACCTTCTACCCACAAAAGCTAATAGACACTTGGGCTCTTAGCTGTTAGACTTAAACTTTGGTGTGTGGGTGGGGGGGGGGGGGATTTGTCTAACTGCAAATTTGAAAATTTATTATTTAACACCTGTATTTAGTAAAATGTCATGCACTCTTGGCGTCTTATGCAATTCATTGTTCTTTTGAGCTCTACTATAATTGTATAATGTTGGACTTCTCTCTCTCTCTCTCTCTCTCTCTCTATATATATATATATATATATATATATATGTTTGGTATTGCTGTATCAATCAATCAATCAAAGCCTTAATCCCATAAGTGGGGATTAAATACCTTTGAAAGACTTCCTATTTCGATTGTCTGAAATCATCAATGGATATTGTAGCATTTTTTGAGCTTTATTGGTCAGTTTTTTTGAGCTGTATATATTCTAATATTCATTATGTGATACTTTTTACATATAAATTCTATGATGTGTTGGAACTTGGAAGTATATTAAATACCTTTGAAAGACTTCCTGTTTTGATTGTCTGAAATAAGCCTTCTTTATTTGCAGATAGGATTTAGTGCACCACAAGGTTGTGGAAAGACAACACTCGTATTCGCACTATACTATCTTTTCCAAATTACTGGCAGGTACATATTGGAAACTTAAGGAACATGACATGTACTTGTGAGAAATTAATGAGAACAGTATGACATTTTTGTTGGACTGATAACATGAAATTCTGCTAGGAAAACTGCTACAATATCCATTGATGATTTCTATTTGACAGCTGAAGAGCAGGTATTTATTCCAGTGGTTTCAGAGAGAGCTTCTGATAACAGAATTTGAGGTCTGTATCATTATTGTCTTTTTCTGACAGAATTTCATGGTAACTGTAGGGTAAACTAAGAGAAGCGAACTCAGGAAATAGGCTTCTAGAGGTTAGACAAGCCTGCTTATTTCAATAGAAAATATCAAATTGTTTGTGCACTGATGATGTCAAATGACTATTTTCAGTACCGGGGAAATGCTGGAAGCCATGATCTATTGCTTTCTGTCGAAACACTTACAGCCTTGAGCAAATCAACTGAAGAAGGTATTGCTTTACGTTTAATATCCTTGTCCAATTTCTAGAACATGTGCAACCTCTTGGTGGTACATTGCACACGTCTATCCTTTCACCTTCCACAGTTGTCCATAATCTTAATTAAAGCCTTTTCATCTTTATATTATCTTCTCATATAATAGTTGTTAATCCACTTGCTGAACATTCTTCTTTCCGGCTTTTTCTTCTTTTTAATTTGAATATTTCAGAATCATTCCATTTATAGAAACTATATATTTCAGGTATGAAGATGAAAGTTCCAAGATACAATAAAGTAAGCATATAAAGCTTTCAATTGTCCACCTGAGATCATGTTTGAACTCTGAAGTTTGTTCAATCTGCGTGCAGTCTGCATATAATGGGAGGGGAGACAGAGCAGATCCTGAAACATGGCCAGAGGTTGAAGGGCCACTAACGGTGAGAAGTTCTTTATATGGTTCTTTGATGAGTTTTTGATCCCCAAACATATTGCTTCAAATGCCAATATCTTGTTCTTTTATTCAGTTAGATTCATTATGTATCATCTAGTTTATCTGATCCTTGTCTCTATACAGGCTATGACCATGTTAGCATAATTTGATATTTCTTTTTATCACCTCAATTTAATGCACACTAGTAAACCTATTTTTTGGTCATTGAGTGAAGCACATCTTTTGTGCTTCAATTGTGTTGACTTGTATTTATTTTGTTATTTCCTTTATTTACAGGATAAAGGCAATCTTTCTCGGTAACAATCAAAATGGTTGCCTTATACTATAAGTACTGTGGGGAAATCATTGTTTTCTGTTTCCTTGGATTATATTAATAAGCAGCTAAGTGTGAGATTCATTTCTAACGCATAACCAAATTAAAGGCTACATTGCCACTTATTATGAAAGCCATCCTCCCCAAATAAATATACATGTGAGAGAAGACTGTTCTTTAGTTTCACTTTGCCGCTTAATCAACTAGAGTCTGCCACTTTCTAATATCCTAGATTTACGTAATCATATCTTTTGAGCTAAGGCATCAGGATATATGGGGGAACCTATGGCCCTTTTGTCTCTGTATATCCATTTATACTAGAGACTGTAAGCAAGGCCTGGTTGTTGTTCTAATTCTTCGAACAAAATAGCAAAAAATGTTGTTCTATTATATGCATACTGCTTTTAAACCAAAACTTTATCACTTCTTTTTGAGTCACTTTGTAAGAATACCATATGGTCAATGCTCAGCGACTAAATCTTTAATGAACCTGAATTTTTCTAAGTTTCAAAGCAATATCTCTCCACCACTTTATGTGTCATATGTAGTGTTAGTTTTATATAGCTTCATGAGAGCAAGGAAGCCGTGGTCTACCGACAACATGGAGTTTTAATAAGGAACACTAAAACAGCATCAAGATTCCTGGATTTACACCATTTCTAGTGTTGAAAATAGTCATTACTTATTATTACCTTTATTCACATGGACCATGTCTTTCTCTTCCATAAAGCCAGACTTCTTAAGAATGAGGACTACCATCATATCTTATCTGCATAGGCAGTTCAATGATTCAGTCTATTTTTCCAAATTCCTGTCTACATTCTGCAAAATGCCATTTGTATTAATTTTCCCTATTTTGAGATTGATATCAGATCACACCATGAACCTAAGATTCAATATGCTTCCCTTACCTCCAAAACCTGTATCTTCTGGCATGATTTTCCCCATGAGAGCTTTGGGAAGCTACAGAATTCTGACTTACAAAAGCAATTCTTTGCATTGTTGACAGTGTTATTAACTTATTATGGGTCTTACTGCAGAGATTCTTTACAGCCCCTGCCAAGTTCTAATTTCTTTTGTGAATACTTAGAACTTCTTCCAAATTCTGTCTTATAAGGTTTATTTCCCTTTATTCCTTGGGCTCTTCAGAAGCTTCTAGGCAATTGCTATGTGCATTGATATAGGGGGGGGGGGGGGTTAATTAAAAGTAGATTTCGGCAGAAGTTGTAAGATTCAACTAGTCCAATATGCTAATAGGGGCAGTATAGCAAAGAGTAAATTTGCTTTTGAAAATTTTAATCACTGAAAAGGGTAATCAAGTCTACTAAACATTATCTTATGTAATTATGCGATGTGTAATGATACGGAGTATGTATTCAAGTCCTTAAATGTCATGTTATACATTCAAATGCGAAATTACTTTTTGAGAACTACTGATTTACCGAACACTTTTACAGAATCTGCTGTCTCTTATTTGCTTGTGAAACCTGCTAATTTAATCCGGTATCTGCTAAGTTGGAGTGCTATATCCTACAGAGTAATTGGGAACCTGGTCAATCAGTTTCAGAAAATATGCTGGCAATCTGTGACTCTGAGATCTACCTGGTGTACTGAAATGGATCATAGCTTACACTGTTATTCATAATCGTCAGTTTCAGAATATTTGTCTTGTTCAAACATATAGACTTCTTGGCTTTAAAGTACATTTTAATCTGAGGACTGATGAGAGACTTCTATATAATCCTCTTTGTGATGGTCTTTGTTTTTGCTTTACTTATATGTGTTACTGTGCCGTTTGTAGGCTATTCTCTTTGAAGGCTGGATGCTGGGTTTCAAACCCCTTCCTGATGAAGTGGTGAAAGATATTGATCCACAGGTTCACACTCTTGCAACTTAACAAAATGACCACCCCTGGCCTGCATATGCGCTCATTTTAATTTATACTTTGTGTTACAGCTTGAAATAGTAAATAAAAATCTACGATCTTATTATGATGCATGGGACAAGTATATAAAGGCATGGGTAGTAATCAAGATCAAAGACCCAAGTTGTGTCTATCAGTGGAGACTTCAGGTTTTTGTCTTCTCATTTTTTTACACACTTTCACATTCTTCTTTCTAAGTACAATTCAAAAATAAGGTTGTGTCTTTACAGGCAGAGCATGCCATGAGGGCAGATGGAAAATCAGGGATGTCAGACAAGGAGGTGAACATTTTATATCTCAGTGAAATTTTTAGGGTGATGATATTTCTACCTAGGCAATTTTAGTTGAGGCAATATTGTCCTATTGACTAAATTTGCCGTGGCAGCTGCAAATAATCACTGATTTTTTTTTCCTGCTTTCTGAAGTGAGGGTCTCCTGCGAGCTGTCCGTTCTTTAACTGATAACCTTCATGTTGGTGCATTCTGCAGGTTTTGGACTTTGTTTCTCGTTACTTGCCTGCCTACAAAGCTTATCTACCTACTCTTTACGCGGAAGGACCAAATGGATCAGATCCAAATCATACCCTTGTTGTTGAGATAGATGAAGGGAGGAACCCTATTCTCATCGGCTGATCTTAGAGTGTTTATTACTAGAGGTTGGTTTTGTTCATATTTCATGTAGTTCTATTACTTTCTACTATCTTGTAACATTATTGTACATTACATCATCAATTGAAATGCAAATTCTTTCATTGGTCTTGAAAAACCCCTTGGGAGATAATGATTGGTCAAGTTTATAAATATGTATGATGAAACTTCAAGTTCTGTTACGAGACATGGACGTTTAAGGTCGTGTTTGGTTTGGGTCTATATAATTTGCATTGAAATTGATCTTCTACGGAAGATTATATTTCCTTTATTTGTTTCCTTGAAAATTAGAGATGATATGGAAAATGAAAGCTTGATGGAAGAGGAGGACAGAAAACCACATAGGTGATAAGGAAAATGCGGTATTCCTTCTTTAAATTAGGAACATAATTTCGCGTTTTTATAAACTATAGTCGACCCAAAAAAATACAGCATAAAGGAACTTGATCATCACATTAAAACATAGTTCATTATTTATATTATGTATACTTGAACTAGAAGACATCAGAGCTAGTAACTCTGTCATACAGCACATATTTTTTTTTACACCCTGCACACTGTAAGAAGTTAAGAACATGGAATGTAATAAAGGGTAAACAAATAAGCAGAGATATACTCAGTATTTTAGGATTCATTTTTTCACAACACTTTCATTAAAAAGATATTAGGAGTAATCAATCCCTTTTATCCTCATTTTTATCATCAGAGTCGCAGCAGCAGCAGAAAACCTTCAGACAGCACTCACATGCCTCGTAACAGCAGAAGCAGCAGCACAGAGTAAATAAGCTGCAATCCCAACATAAATTTCAGGCATTAGAAAATAATAACGAACCTTCTATGTAAGAAAAATTATGAACAACACGACTTAATCAGTTAAGTACAGGAAATTACTCATGTGATTGAATCTTAGACCAAAATCTGATTCAAAAAAAAAAAAAAAAACAAACAAAAACTCTTGTTGTACCAAACATAGTCACTGCATTCATTATACTTCATGAAAGGAGATTAGAAGGAAAGAAGTGACAAACCAAGCGTAGATCCATCCTTTTTCATGGTGGCGCTGCTTGATGTGTTCAGAATAAGTCTGTGCTTGTCCGCTGTCCATTGCTGTTTTTTTGGTAGATATCAACCTAGAAAATCTACACCCACGAAAATGGCTAAGCAAATCTGATGAAAAACTGATTAATATTTGTTTGGCCTCAAATTTCGACGAGAAGGCAAGGAGAACATGCGTTATCTATGTCCTTATATACTGATTTCATGTCAATATTTAATCAATATAGTCTTTTGGAATATCCCATGTTAATTCTTATACTTTGGTTGATTTCTTCTGTCAATCAAAGATGGTTATTAAATATAGAGCCATCCTTTTCTTACTTATCTGTCACAGATTCCTCTTAGCTGGGAGATCCCTCAGACGAAGTCTAACAACATTTGAATATTTAGTACTTGTATATGTTAGCTACATTGTAATTGACTGATTGCACACTTGATGCACAATTACTTAGCTTTGCAAGTTACGTGCTTACATGTTACATGCAAGGTCTAGGTATACCCGATACAAGATAGAGGTTCCGTTACATATATAATAATCGTAGGGAATTTCAATTGCACACATATACATTGTCGTAGGAATAGGGTTCAAGCTTTCTCATACTCCATACTGATATAACTATCCATCTTTTGAGAAGTTGAAATTTTCATTATTTCTTCACTTGTAACCTGTAACAATAATGGTTGTTAAGGTCAAGGATTTAAAGAAATCAAACTCCATTATTTCTGACATTAACAAACATTAGTAACAAAAATAATAGAGAAGTTGACTACATTAAATCCTTGACCAAAGCAGCAATTATTGTTTCTGACATGATAAACACTAGGAAAAAATCCAAGTAGTACTTGACTTATTTAGTAGAGATTTAACCTTAATATTGGCCTTTAAGTCACGAGTTGAATCCCCGACGAATAGATTGATTGGTTTATATATAAGAGGTCTTAGTGTAATATGATCGTTTATTAATTACTTCCTTTTTTTTTTTTCAAGAAACACAACGATAGACGAACCACCATATCTCACCTTCCACCGAAAACTATGTCTGAAATGTTAAATTTGTCTTGTCTTTGAGATAGTAAATTAAACACAACTTAACTTACAGTTGTAATGTGACCGTTGGTAGTTCATAAAAACAAGTAAAATATAATAAGTTCGGGAAAGCAATAAACTATTTTAAAAATTTAATATATTTTTTAATAAATAAAAATTAGGTGAATATAATTTTAAAAATTAGATATATTCAAATAAATAAATGAAAATTGGGTGAATATAACATAATTTAATAGTCTAACTCTATTATTTTTGGTGAACAAGGGACAAGTGTCCGTTGTTAATGAATATGATCACATGTTCACATTTTTCATGTCAAATTCAGGACCAATAATCAAGAAAGAACAATAGGTACTCTATGAGACACCTTCCCTTTCACCTTTGTCATTTTCATTCCAGGTTTCAATTTCGCTATTCAGATAAATCTTTTCATCTTCATCAGCATTATCAGGAATAACAGGCCTAGGAACAGTCAATATAGAATGAACCTTTTTAACAGTCAAGAAAACTTGCATTTTCTGTTTCCACCTTTTAAAGTGAGTGCCTTCAAAACGGAAGGGCTTGTTAAGGTCGTTGGACATAGTCATTTCTTCGGTAGACATAATATTCACGAAGGCAGAAAAGAATTGTTCTAAAATTGTTAAAAACGTAACTGCAGGAACAAAAAATAATAAGAACAATGTTACCGAGAATGAGACTGAGTCGCGGATTATGTCGCTCTCTTTAGAACATTCACGGTACTGCCTCTAATTTGTGCAAGCAGATCGAACCACAACCGGATGTCCTTCAGGATAAAACAGTCTCTCGAAATAAAAATATACCGATGGATTTGCACAAAACCACCGGGCAACTAAACACCAACACTAATTAGAAACTGCTTGAATTCTGTATTTTAGGAGGAAAAAGATTAGAATAATTTTTCTGTATATGAAAACGGTGAGCAAAGTGTTCTTTTTATAGAAGAAGCAGTAGCATAACGGTAGCAATTAAAACCGTTCTTAAACCAGCGAATAACGGCCAATTAAAAAACGGTAATGTGGAATTAAAATTGGAATAAAAACGGTTATGAATAATGGTAGGGAATCAGTCAAAATAGTTACCAAAAATCATGGAATTAATTCGGTAATCAGTTTAAACAAATTACATAACTAAACCTTGTTCAAAAATTTTAAATTTGTTTTGATCAACTAACCCAGCCTAGCGATCTAGGTAAGTCTTCCCTCTCCACAAAATGTGGGTAGCCCTTGGACCACACCCAAGTCTACCACACTCTACATAATAGAGGAGGTAAAACTTTCATTTCCCACCAATGTGGGACTTTGTGATTTTCACAAAATTCACACCCAAACACACTTTGTTCCAACATGATCACATATTCACATTTTTCATGTCAAATTCAGGACCAATAATTAAGAAAGAACAATAGGTGCTCTATCAGACGCCTTCCCTTTCACCTTTGTCATCTCCACCCCACCATAATTATATACTATACTAATTCAAACGTGAAATATTGCCATTTCTTCATGAATGGCCAAATGATTGAAGACATCAATAATTCATACTGTAACTATTGATTGATGTATTATTGTTAAGATTGGGGCCATTGGGATGTATCAACCTCAATTAGCGATTTAGCGGTGTAATAATATGGAGTAATTAATAATAACGAACGTAAAATATTACTCGTATGTGAGAATTTGACGAAGAACAAGTAGAAAATCATAACAATGCACTTTAGTACTTATCAAACTTTTTTAAGAGTGGTGAATAGCTTAGGTAGTTAGAAGAGGTCAAGAGTAACTAATAACTAGAAGGTAACTCCGATTAATCTATACTAGAAGAATAACTACTAATAACAACAATACTGTACTCGTTTTTTTTGTTTATCACACGTAGAATGCAATTCATGACGACGATGACGTCTTGTGTAGAACTTAAGGTCGTGTTCTTGTCCTTCGTACAATCCTACTTCTCAAGTGCAGCTATACGCTCAAAATCTTCCTTTGCGTGCATGCAGTATGTTAGAAAATTAAGTTTAATTATAAATGTGCAATAACTAAACTATGTAATCGTATAATACTAACACTCTTTCATTTATTCATCAGCTTACATTATTTGTAAATAATTACTTTGGGCTGGGGTTTCCTGGCCTTACCCTTCTGATCCCCCTCCCCACTCCCAAAGCACTAGCTTGCTAATTTGGGTTAGTGGGTTGAGAGGTTCCGGTCTGATAGGGCCTTTTATCTTATCAACAAAAAAAAATTATTGTCTTCTATTAAGATATACTTTAGGAATTATTTAGGAATATATTGATTTGGTGAATATTTTATTCACTAGGATATATTTCCCATAATTATCTCTAGTTATTTATGCTAGCTGTACACTTTGGTTAGGCTTAGGAAACTAGACTACTTGTATTATATATATTCTGTTCGGTGGATCAATGAAAGGCAAGCCAAATTTATCTTATTTTACATGGTATCAGGCCTACAGAATTTTTTTCTTTTCTCATAATTAGCCATGGCTGGCGGTGACGATCCACCACCACTAAGTAAAATCGAACCAAATTCACCTTATTACCTTGGGTCGCAAGATCGACCGAGAGATTTCATCACACCTACTCGCTTAAAGGCTGATAACTATGAAGAATGGGCGGCCGATATTCAAAAAGCGTTAGAAGACCGTCGTAAGTTCGAGTTTTTGGATGGCACTATTAATGAACCATCCCCGCGTTGTACAAAGTCCGATTGGACAGAGCCATGCTCATATCATGGATATCAAACACTATAGATTCTGAATTAAAATCCTCTTTGTCGAAATTCAGGGAGGCTAAACCCTTTTGGGACCATCTAAAGCAACGCTTTACCCAAACAAATGGACCTCGTATTCAGCAATTACGATCCTCAATTGCTAAGTGCGAACATACCAAATTGATGCCTGTCTCGGTTTATTACGGCAAATTGCATTCTTTATGGCAGGAATTAGACCATCACGAGCTCTTGATTTCATACTCGTGCTGTACTTCGTGTTCGGCTAGTCGCTTACATGA